CTAGTGGGGATTCCCTCTTCAATTCCTCCTCTGGGCTGTTCCAGCCATCCTGCTTTGTGCAGATGTGATGATGCCTTCCTCTGCATCTGTCTCACTGTTAATTATATTACCAGACAAGTCTACAGCCTGAAGAAACAGACTGTTCATATTCTTTAACCCAGCAGCACCTAAAAGTCATTTCCTTCAGTTCCTCTCTTCTAGCAACAAAGAGCTTGGACAGATAACAGACAACTGTTCGATTCCCACGCCCCCTTTTTTTTGGCATGCATTTTACTCATTTTCAGAGAGCAAAACATCAGCTTCTGAACATATTCTTCTCTTTTCCCTGGACATGGAGAAATTCAATCTCCAGGATGTTGAATTTCCCAAAGGTCTCCAGATGGGGGAGAAAAGCATGCAGATAAAGTGATTACCATATGCAAATGACAGGTAACAAACACATCAGCCATGAGAAATCTGCTGATTTTACAAAGAACTGTTTTCTGTATAATTACATATGGAAGAAGGAAACAGTTTAAAGAGTTCAACCAGAAGCAATGCAAAGAGGATATAGCCCAATTATATGAGTAAAGCAGAACTTAAATACTTTATTGCCTGAAGTTTGATATTATTGTCTTTAGGACAAAGGATTTAGTACTGTATATCAATCATTCATTCAGAAGAACTGCTTGATGTGCTTACTTATCCTGATATTTCATAATCCTGAAGCTAAGCCCAGAATCTTTTGTTAACAAGCACATTGCAAAAACCCTACACCTATTTTCACTCAACCATGAATTCTCCATAATCTCAAACATACTCTCCTGGGGCTGAGTCCCACTGAAGTCAGGGAAAGTTATTTCTGAGTAGAATGTTTGACTTCTGGAGACTACATAAACAACAAATACTATTTGCCAGTCTTCTTCCAATATATTTTTTTTCAACTTTCCAGCTAGCCTGCTGTTCTCTGCTGGTGGATTCGCATCCACGTACAAATTATGAAGACCCCAACTCAATGGAATTAAAGCAAATAGTTAATACAGGTTTTAGAGGCTCTCTTCTCTTGTTCCTTAATGCCATCTCCCTGTATTGTAGCTTGCACCTGGTTTTATTTGTGTTTGCTTAAATTCAAGAAAACAGCTCCATGCATATGGCCATGGAAGCTGAGGTCTGGGAAGGAGAGGAAGCCAGCGTACCAGACCCTGTCTTTGATCCAATTAATGTCTGACAGTCATGGAAGAAGGGAGAGATGTTGATCTTTCAAAATGTTTAGCTTCTAAAACTTTCTATATTTATCTTTTATACCAGTCAATCTTTTGCCAGGAGACAAAGAAGGCTGCAATAGCTAGACATGATGCAGGATGGATGAGGTTGTCATTTTTCTGGATTTGACTGGAATTGTTCATGTTTGTACTGGGAGGAAAAGATGTTTCAAGGCTACTACTTGCCTATATTTAATTTCTGTTTTTCTCTTTTCAACTTGCGTAGGCACATGCACAAGCACTTACAGGCATACACATTTTTGTGTGATTTCTTCCCCTCCAGTTTTTTGAGCAGTTTCTGAAGTAATTCCATGTTATACTTTGCAATTCAAGTTTTTGTGCATCACAAGTTTGCTGGCCTTTAGGTGCTATGAGGTTTTTTTTTTAATTAAGAAGAGCACTTCTTGATCTTCTTCAGCTCCATTTCTACCTTGTTGCTTATCAGAAGGTATAAAAAGTTACATCCTGAGCAAGTTGGATGCAAAAACATTGTACACTAAAACTCTTACCAGACAGCCCTATACAGGTAGTCCTCAACTAATGACAATTGTTAAATGAGCTATTTGTTAAGTGAGTTTTGCCCCATTTTACAACTTTGCTTGCCACAGTTGTTAAGTTAGTAACCTGGTTGTTAAATGAATCTGGCTTCCCCACTGACTTTGCTTGTGAGGTCACAAAAGATGATCACATGACCTTGGGATCACATGACCTTGGGACACAGCAATGGTCATAAATATGAACCAGTTGTCAAGCATTTGGATTTTGATTGCATGATCATGGAGATGCTGCAAAGGTCGTAACTGTGAAAATGGTCATAAGTTACGTTTTTCAGTGCTGTTGTAACTTTGAATGGTCTTGTAAGTCAAGGACTATCTGTACAGTTCTGCCCCAAAATTTGCCCCAATTCTTTCTAATCCCATGTCTAAAATTGAGAACTGTTCTGGATCCTTAGATGCTAATGAGATTTAACTTTGATGGTGGTAGTAAATACATGTAAACAAGTATGTTCTGGAATCAGGCTTTTTCTTTAAGACCACCCAGTGCCGGACCTACCCAAATACAAGGAAACATCAGTGGAGGGAAAAGCCCCAGATGATACTGCAAAACACCATTAACCATTCTGAGTGTAGAACTAGTTCACCTGCTGTGGTGTATCCTGGATAGTGTGCAAGTATGAACCAGATGAACTAGTAATCTTAGGCAGCCAAACAACTACCCTGTACTAATCTCCTGGTTTATGTACCATAAAATAAATTTAGCACCATATGCTAAATAAATATATACTACTAAAACTCTGGCCATGACCTTTAACTAGGTGAATAATGGATCATAGGACAACAGTTTTTGAACTAAAATATCTCAAATGGGCTAACTCACAGAATATGTACAAAATCTGGGATCCATGATTCCCAAGGGGTTGAAATTTGGGGAAATTATGGCTGTTTCAGTGCTACTGGCTTCTGCTGGGCTGCTCTTGCAGTCACATATCTAAATTTTCACTGTTTCGTGACAGTTTCCCAGCCAGTCTCACAATGCCTTGCTTCCCCCCCCCCCCCGGTAGCCTTTTACCTGCCTGATGGGAAAGAAATGGAAAGGGAGGTTTCCCATGCTCATCAGATTTCCACAAGGAAACTCAATGGGGAAGCCAGAAGTCACTCCTGCTCCCACTGCTTTTTTGACCACTCTTAAATCATTGTTTCTTTGTTTAGGGAAGGAAATACTTCTGAAATGATGGCTCAACAGGGCACAGATTGTCTAGTCATGATATATAAATAAAATCCTTGATTCTATATTGGAAAAGTCTAACTCTATATTTAAGGTTGCAAATTTTTGAAGCATAGCACACAATAAAATAAAGCTGTAATATATTCTACGTAGGACGTTCTTGAAGACAATTTGAGAACTTCAGTTGATTCAGGATGATAGACATCTCCCAAAGCATCTTGCAATTTTTATTTTTTTTATTTTAGATTAATGATTTCTTTAATCTTTTTTGCAAGAGATTTGCACCTCTGTTAAATGTACAGGTAAGTAACTTGTTTGTTGCCTATTCTTATTTTACATCACCAAAAAGACTGGAAAGTAACTTTTTTTTACTTATTCAGTTCTGTCTCCACTTAAAGGCTAAGTACTGCTAAGCTTGGCCATATATTTTATAACAAAGTCTATGCTCCATTCTTTGCCATGTATTATTTAAAATTGTTTATCTTGGCAAGAATAGAAATCAGTGGCTAAATATCTCAGAGTGGAGCTGGAGGGGGGGAATGCATGTTAATTTGCATGCAATTAGCTTCATTCACCTTTAACAGATCCTGGGAAAATCAAAGTCAGTTCTCAGTTGACTTGTTTTTCACCCCCTTAGCTCTTGTTGGGACTCCTTATCTTTAGAATTCTTATGTACTTTATTGTCTGTGGCCACAACCCAGTAGAACAGGCCACTGATATTTGCAGTCTTGAGTTACACACAAAAATGATCCAATATAATTTTTAACAGTTTTCTGAATACAATTATTTTAGAGATTAATAATTGCCAATGTTTTTTTATTTAAATTTATTTCTGAAAGCTTTGGATGTAATTTATTTCACTTAAATCTAAAGCTCTTTTTCCCATTTCTGATTGAAAGCTCTATCCACAGAAGAGTTTATATTGCACATGGCAAATTTTTGGAAAGTGCCTTCTGAATTGTCATGCTAGGAGGACAATTGTGTTAGTTTATGGTATAGTCTTTTGCTTGTTGTCATGCAATTAATGTGTTTTGAAGTTGGTTGTCTTTTTTTTTTAACACCTTGATATACTTTTCTGCTTATGCTTTTTAAGGTATGTGTTTTTTTAAAAAGATGACTTACTGTCTAATTTCAATAGCATGCCCTATTATAAGGGAGCTCCCTCCACATTCTTTAAATATATTTATTTAAACATGCATATTTCATGCAAAGTACTTAAAATCTCCTTTATCCATTTCACTGTGCTATCTTCTAGTGCTATGTTATTAGAAATTACACTGATCAGTTAATAAACATTTCTATCTTTGGATTGCTGGCAAAATAGATACAAGAAAAAAAGAGTAAAAGCTTGTAAGCAAAAATGAAAACCAGACAAGTGGAACCACTATAAAATACTACTCTGCCATGGCCTGGATCCTAATCCACTGTGGAGCACATTTGCAGATTTATGCTTGTTTGTAACAAGTATCTTTACAGATGTTAAGGCTATATATATTAAGTTTATCATTCCTGCATCAAAAAAGGACAGTACTAGCAGAAATAAATATTTGGAGCCATTATTTTTCATATGAGATAGTTTCCTTCAATTGTCTATTTGCTGTTTATGCTGCCTGAAGCTACTCCAGCCAAATGTTTAGAGGCTTGTATTTTATAGGCATATATGGTTAAAAGGATCATATATTGACCAGGAAATGCTTTATGAGAAACAACTATATTTCTTGTTTAATGATAGATCTCAAATCACTGGGTGATAACAGTCACCATAATTTTTCTGTGGTACGTTTGCCTGAAATGACACAATATTTCAAATACTTGCTTTATTTCTCTTCTTCCCGGTCAAGATTGAGCTGAATATTTACCAGACAAACGAAATGCCTACATTCTGAGATTTTTCCCCCCCACACACATCTGCCACAAATTCAAAATTCTTTTTTTAATAACCTGCGGACATTTCCATATATAAATATGTGGATGATTTTAAGTAACATTTAACAGTCATATAACTTTTTTTTTACAAGAATTACTTGGCACTGCTTTTTTTACTGTGTTCAAAATTTAATACAATTCAATTTTTTTGTAATGTACCAATAATTCAAGTTTACAGACTTTTTTTTTTAAAACATATTACTTATAATAGATAATATCCAGGAAATCCAGTCCCAGATGACATTCTAATGTTGCCCATTTAAAAAAAAACACAACCCTTTATGCCCAATAGCAAAGAAAGAAGAAATGGTACCAAAACAACAAGGGAGCGGAGAAGAATCTAATAATATGTATTCAAGAACACAAAATGATTTCCTATTGCCCAGGGTAGGAAAATACACTTCCAAGAGAAAAATGCAAGAGGTTTGGGTAACTAATTTGTAGCAACAGCCAAGCAAATCAATGGCTTTTTAAAGGAATAACATTGATTTTTTTTTCTTAACTTGTACTGCCTGATTCATCTGATCCTAGCCACTTATCATGGTACTTAAGCCTAAAAATATTCTGGGATAATATTTTTTTTTAAAAAAAGGATGCTGGTAGTTTGACTTAATTTCAGAATTCCTATGTAAGAAATAATGTCACTAAACAGCAAATAAGGATGAAGGCAGAAGAATCAAAAATAAATCATTACAATCACATGATAGTCAAGAACTACTGTTTTCTTGAGTCCTTATACTAATAAAAATATTTGATCCATGATGAGCTTATGGACAAAAGCTGATAGCATTACAGCAATAAAGCAAAGGAAAAAAAGCTTATTGGAATTATCCAACTGCATACTGGGAAGGAAACAATGCAGTAAGCAGGCTGGTTTTTCCCTTGTTTTGTTTGCAAAGAAGTGGTCCAATTAAGTAGTTAAATATAGACATGTTATCAAATATCTAACAAAAAGGAGCAGAACAAAACCTAGCCTTTGAGTCTAAGGATAGTAGCAGGACTTTCCATTTCGTGTAGCTGAATGACTTCAATGATTGGTAATAAAGGAATGACAACAACAAAGCAGTGATGGGGAAAAGCCTCTGAGTTTATCGAACAGTCACACCAAGTTTCTCAAGCACACGCACTCCCTTCTCTTGATATTCTTGTCTGGTCATCCAGAAGTTGTCTTTGTCCTTCATGATGTCTGCAAGAACTGCACCACCTAGGAACACCATGTGCTTTCGACGAGGTGGATCTTCAATTCGAATCTTAAATTTCTTACAGGAAAAAAAAAGATACTCAATATAACTGAAGTTTGCGGGGCAAAATTTCCAAAATATAATGGTGATGATGATAGGTTTAAAATACTTTTTGGGTAAGTGGGTAATGAGTTCATGTTCTTAAATGTTAATTAAAAAACATTTATATAACATCCTTAGTTTAGAGAATATTGTTAAACTACAGAACTATAATTACAAAGTAGTTTAAGTGCTATGGGACAAAGTGGAGTTTCAAGCTGTTTCCACTTTTATTCGCTTGGATCAGTGTGTACTCGATATGCACGTTCTCCTCACACAAATATAATGGACCTATTAAGTCCACTACATATTAAACACCAATCTACTCTTGATGATTTCACAACCCCATGGAAACAGAAGTGGGGAATTGAAAGGGCAAGATATCTGTTCCTTTGATGGTTGTGTTTCCCCAGTTATGGACCACAACTGGATCTCATCTAAAGTTTTAATACATTAAGGACATAGATCAAAATATATCCATTTCTATATCTACATCTACATCTATCTATCTCTTTTGGATACATAAACACTTCTTCCCAGGAATTATTCTTTAAATAAAACAATCCCTTATGTCACAATTTGTGGGTGCAAAAGGCAACAGGTTCCAATTTTCTTCAGTAACTGTGAGAAGGCTGGAACTATGCAAGGTTCTAATAAAGAAATGAAAGTAGGTCCTATAAAGTAAAAGTATACTGCCTAGGTTATGGCAAGTAAAATGACAGGTATTTTTTAACTGTGTAGATTTTATAAGTGACAGAATATTATAACAAATAGTTTCTTCTAAAATGAAACATGCTTATGTTCTGAGCAGTCCCTAAAGGCAACAGGAAAAATATTAATGTTAATAAATTGAAATGTTATTTTAAGACACACAATTCTGTCCTATAAACTGTTAAAAGGTTCATGAAAATGTCAAATGATGCTATGAAGAGAAAAGAATAAACCTATTAGTTCTAATAAAGTGGTTGCATTTAAAGATCATATTAAATCATCTTCAAAATCTAGTATAGTCCAAAGTAGTTAATAGTACATAATTATCTGATGTGGAATTTTAATAATCTCTATTCAAAACTAACTTATTCAAAACTCACAAACTTAATTCAGGCTGTCCGCTATATTAGTGACCATCTTGCTCCCTCTAGTGACCACCTTATGTATGCTGTAATCAATAATTATTTGATGGGCGAGTACTTACTGAAAGTTTTTCCACATCACCTTTCAGAACTCGTTCCAGATAAAGCTGCTTCAGTTCACGTTCTAGGCGAGATGGTAGGCCAGGGTACATTGTGGAACCCCCAGATAATACAATGTGCTTATAAAATTCAGATCTAGAGACAGAACAGATACCTCATCAAGATTTTTGTATAAATTCCGGTACATCAAGGTATATACAATATAGTTATTTAATTTATTTGATTTCTGTACCACACACACACCCATGTCAACAAGTGATATGGGTGATATACATCATAAAAACAACAGAAATATATATGGCTGTTGAGTAAAACTATTACCATGAATGTTAATGTAGTCAAGCACTGGGGCCTTCAACATACTCGGCATGCAGTACATATACAATAAACCCTCAATTTAATGGACCTCAGATTTAACAGACAATATGGGCTTTGGCTGCAGAGTTCCTGCAGCTGGTATCGACTGATGTCTATGCTCACTATTCATCTCTGTTGTTTTAACTTGCTAGAGAAATTAATCTGGTTCCAGGATTGACCTGGATTGTAAGGCTGGGTGTTATTCTGGCTCCTAGCATGTCACCACTTATGGTTGACAGATTTATTTTCACAAGGCTACTGCTCAAATATCTGTGGCTTGCACTGCCTTTTGCTCCCATACCTACCTACCTCCTTCAGCTTTAGCAGAAAGCACTTCCACCTCACTAGTTAAATCGAATATTGAGCTTCCACAAAAAGAAAGATAATCCACGAAAAAGCATGCAAATGCTATAATAGCCATATCCTCTCCATTTCAATATCCTCTCTGTAACAATGACAAATACCACACATACTACCATTTTCTTATAATCCGTGAACATTTTTCTTTTTAAAGAATTTCCACATCCAAGTAGAGCTACAAATCAGGACATGTCTTTTCTCCCATTAAATGATTCCTGTGCGTGTGTGGTTTTTTTTTTTTTTTTTTTTTTAAACTGTGATATAGTATAAGAACTACCAACATCCAACTCATACCTGGTATCAATATCAGCAGCTTGGATGGTGTTGAACAGCAGCTCAGCAACACCAACTCCTTCCACATTGATTAAGTGAGGCTGGAACAGGGCCTCAGGTGCCTCAAATCGCTCCCCTCCAACTTTAATAATTCTGCCATCTGGGAGCTGTAAAATAGAGACAGTCTGAAGTAGCCCTGTTATCACTATTTCTCCTAGACTAAACTAGGTCAAAAGCTTGCTGGGGAAATTTCTCTCTTACTAGCTGTATAACTTGGACCGTGCTTCCTTTGCTACAATGCCATAACTATTTTTATAAATAGTTATCAATAGTTTTATAAATAGTTATAAATGCCATAACTATTTTTTAAAGAAAACATTAAAAATGTTTAATAACAATTAAAACAAAAATACATCTTTCATTACTGGAACCTCTTCCTGTTTGCTAATAACATTTTAAAAGTTGAAGAAAAAAAAGAACATTTCCGACTTCAGTCTTTTCTTTACTGATTTATATAATCAAATCTTAGACTAATTCAATTTAAAAAAAAAATACATTAACAAATAGCTTATGCAAGATACCTGCCCTGCCCTCTGTAGTGTTAATTGTCACTGTCAAAAGTCATTCTCACTGTTGGTACTATTTCACTTATTCCCAACTTGCAAACATACACATATATTCTGTGTATATGTTATAGAAGTGGTTTGCCATTGCCTGCTTCCTAGAGCTGAGAGTGCATGGCTGGCCCAAGATCACACAGATGCCTTTGAGCCTAAGGCAGGGCTAGAATTCATTGTCTCTTGGTTTCCAGCCTGGTAAGTTAACCATTATACCGAACATATAGATAAGGCTTCCTTATCTATATATTTTATATAGATAGCTGGAAAAAGTACAGAAGAGGATGGACAAAATTAACAGGAGGTTCAAAAACCTCCTTCCCTTCTAGAAAAGAATATAAAGTTTGGTACTCTTTACAATGCAATCAAACTGCACACAATATAGAGAATATGAATATGAAGATAAGCTGACCAGAAGACTTAAGAAAGACAAAGGGAAGAACTTCTTCATATAGCATAAAGTTAACCTAAGAAATTATAAGATGTGATTAGGACCATTAATTTAGAACATAGAACATCAAGGTTGGAAAGGACCTTGGAGATCTTCTAGTCCAGACCTTATACCATTCTGGAAAAATGGTTATCCAATCTTCTCTTAAAAACCTCCAGTGATGGAGCACCTTCAATTTCTGGAGGCAAGCCATTCCACTGATTGTTCTGTCAGGAAATCTCTCCTTTGTTCTAGATTGGATTTCTCTTTAATAATCTTTCACTGTGTCAAAGAAGGCAATAAAGTATTATCTGTTTTAACAAATCCATACTGGCTTCTAGTAATCACCATGCTTGTTTCTAGGTGCTCACAAATCCGCTTATTTGATTATCTTTCACAGGATTTTCTCAGATACTGTTGTCAGGCTAATTGATGTATATAGTTTCCTAAATCCATCTTTTCCCCCTTTTTGAAGATTGGAATTAGATCAGCTCTGTTCCAGTCCTCTGGTAGGTCCCCCATGCTCCAGAAGCAATTGAAGATTTTGTTCAGTGTTTCCGAGCTCATGTCTGCCAGCTCCTTCAGAACCCTGGGATGCAATCCATCTCGTCCTGAAGATCTAAATTCATCTAGAGTGGATAGGTGTCCTCTTACCAATGCTTTGCCTATTTTGACTTGCATTCCTGTTCTGTCTCCTAGACTTCTGATAAGTTGAAGTATTTTTTTTCCTTTTGTGTGAAGACAGATGCAAAGAATGAATTAAGCAGTTCTGCTTTCTCTCTGCTACCGTCATCTCCTTGCCATCTTCTCCCATTAGTGGACTAATTATTTCCTTTATTTTTTTCTTGTTTCTCATAAAAAAGAAACTTTTTTAAAAATTATTTTTGTAATTGTTGCAAGTCTTAATTCTTTCTGAGCCTTAGCTTTCCTGATTCCATTCCTTGCTGATTCGGGCTATTTGCTGATATTCTGTTTTAGTTATGTATTCCTCTTTCCATTTTTTATACTTGTCATTATTTCTCAGTTAGTCAAAGTTCTTCCTACTGATTTTGTCTGGTGTCTTTTGTTTTCTTTTTTCTGTGGTATTGTGTTAGATTGAGCTTTTATAATATCATTTCAGAGTTTCCCAATCATCTTTTAGGATTTCCATCCATGGAATCCTTCCTAAACTCTTAGTTTGTTGAAGTCAACTCTCTAAAACTCTAAGTCACTAGTTTTATTTTGTTCAATTACTTGTGCCAGCATATATTGAATTCCAGTAAGACATGGTTAGTCTCCCCTAAAGTTTCCACAACTTCAACCCCTTCTATCATTTCATTCCTATTATTAATGAGAATTTAGTCCAGTGTAGCTGAACCTCCAATTCCCTTCTTTACCTTTTGGATGTAAAAGTTGTCAGCTAGGCTCACCAGGAACCTGTTTGCTCTCCCCACTTGCTGCAGAGTTTGTCTTCCATTTGATATCAGGGTAGTTAAAGTTCCCCCATTACTATCTGTTCTTGCTTCCTGCACACCTTAGCTAACTGATTAGCAAAAGGTTCGTCTATTTCATCTGCTTGGTTGGGTTAGGGGCCTCCCCCCCGCGGCCTCCTCCTCACTAGCAGCCCCCCCAGAGGAGAGTCACCCCTGGGTGCGGCCCGTGTGGAGCAGCACAGCCAAGCACATGGCAGCTGGGCAGCAGGGACAAGATTCCGCCCTCACGCCCCGGCGCGCACAGTTGATGCTGCGGGGCATGGGCAGAGGGTGTGACCACCATGGCACTGCTGGGCCCCTGGGCGATTTTCATAAATGACTTAGAGGAGAGGATAGAAATTTGCCTATGTCTACAAGGGATGAGGAGGAATTGCTAACACTATAGAAAACATACTCAAGGTTTAAAAAGGTCTTAACAGATTGAACAAGAAAAGCAGGTGCAGGTACTAGTGGCTTAGCAATAATACTTGAAAGAACAATGTGCATCTTGACAGACCACAAGTTAAGCATTAACCAGCAATGTGCTGCATCAACAGAAATATAGTGTTGAAACCATCAGACACTCTACACAAAGACACCGAAAAACAGGAAAAAGAAACGTGTAAGATGCTAAGGCAGACATGTCAAACACAAGGCCCGGGGCCCGGATGCGGCCCACGAAGCCATCCTGGAAACAGTGAGGGAACGGCCTCCGCTGCCTTGGCCCTGGCCAGCCGGGAGCCAAGGTACAATTTTGTGGTGGCCATCTATGCTGAAACACATTCAGTCTTAGCTCCACAAGAAACAGCGAGGAACCAGCCCCTGCCGCATCGGCCCCGCCCCCTGGGTGCATGCTGGGAGGTGTCACCCTTTGTGAGGAATGACGAAATGCACCATGCCTTGGCACTTGCCCCGATCCTACCCCCTTCTGCTAGAGACCCTCAGATCTGTCCCACTCCTGCCCAGGCCCCCATAGGCACCCTTGACGCGAACGATGTAGAGCTGGCCATGCCCACCCAGTAGGCCGCACCCACCCTGGCCACACCCACCCACCCACCCACCCCAAGGGCAATCGCAATGCTGATGCGGCCATCAATGAAATTGAGTTTGACACCCCTGTGCTAAGGGGTCTGGAAATTCAATTTTATGAAGAACCTTTAAAAAGACTGGGTACCTTTTAGCCTAAAAAAGAGAAAGCAAAGGTATCATAATAGCAGTTTTTAAATATTTGAAGGGCTATCACAAGGAAGAGAGAGTGAATTTATTCTCCATAAATATACTTTCTATTATTTATTGGAATTCTATGCTACCCATCTCACTAATATAGTGATACTGGCAGCTTAGAATATAAGTGTTGAGTGTAGAGCAAGAACCAATGGATGGAAGCTTTAGGGAGGTCTAAACTTGATATAAGGAAGAATTTCCTGACTATAAGACCTATTAAGCATCACGACATCCTGCTTTCTGTAGTTGTGGGTGCTTCATTGCTGGAGGTTGGAGAGACATTGTTGGAGATGAGAATTCTTGCCCTGGACAGAGGATTGGACTAGATGACTAGCAATTCCTTTTCAATTCTATAATTCTACTAAATAAATACTACGACTACTACTACTACTACTACTACTACTACTACTACTACTACTACTATCATCATCATCATCATCATCATCACCATCATCATGTTATTGTTGTTATTATTATTTAAAATATACTGGTTGCTAGTAATGATGGACAATGACTGCTTTATGTAGGTATTTGCTTTCCTAAGGCAGTAATTACCTTTTATTACTAGCAACTACCTATAATTTTTCAATAAAGTAAATATATATATTAAAACTCATAAAATTTAATTGAGCATGGCCATAGCTGTCATACCATGATGTAGCCAATCCGATTAATGTTTAAGGGTAGAAAAGTAACAAACAAACACATTCATATTTTTGTATTTGCTATCCGTTAAAGCAATCAACTTGAAGAACTAATAAGAATGGGGGAACAAACGTTATCTTTCTGAACACTGTTATAGCTTAATACCAATAATTCTAATTACCATTGATAACATTCAACTTATAATGTCTACTTTGAGGGCAATTCTGGATGGCAAACTTAGTAGCTGAATCATCTCATCCAATTTTTGGACTTGTTTTTTTTTTCTCCCGCTCCATTTTTGTCTAAAGAAGCATTCCAAAAATCTCCAGTTTTTGTATGATCTTTTGTACCATTATTCTGCTTACTCTTAACATACCATTAATGTCTGAACTGTTTTAACAGGGGCTCCAGATGTCTTAAAGTACCCATCCATGTAATCCCTTGCCATATCAACTAGGGTTTATTAGAGTTGAAAAATAACAGGCTGTCTACTTTTGTATTATAATGGAAAATTGCAAATGCACAGAGTTACTCACCGTGTAGGACTCAACTAACACAGTAGTTTCCAAGGCCAATTTCTGCTCCTGTTCAATATTGTAACCCACATAGCAGAGCTTTTCTTTAATCATGCGAACAGTCTCAAAATCAGCAGAATGATTGAAGGCATATCCTCGTAGTAAAAGTAGCTAGTACAGAAGTAAGACAGTTAATGGTGGACCTGAAATAAGGCTTTCAGATTGAGACATTTTTTTATACAAAAGTGATAATTTTTATCATTTATAGCAAAATGACAAAGATACATTGCATCTTGATTGATAGCTGCTCATATTTTATTTTGAACTCAAACCTATTACTTGAGTTTTTCATCAGCCATTAACAGAAAACATGCAAGCTGATCTACCCAATACTTCAATATACAGATATACCCATTCTTAAAAAGTGTCCATAGACTCTTTCTTGCACATAAGGTGCACTTATCACAACTTATTTGCTTGACCCAGTTTTAAAACCCAAAATGATTGGGACCTCACATGTATCTCTGTGAATGCCTTCTCTCCAGATAAGCAAACAAACAAATAATAAATGCCTCCTGCAACAGACAACTGGCTCTTCAAGACTAGAGGTCCCCAACCTTTTGGGCACCAGGGACCGGTTCCATCAAGAGGTTCATGGGGTGTGTGGTTTTGTGTGCTGCCTTCATCTCACGTATGGGGATTTGCTTTTTGTGCGGCCCTGTTGCTGGCATGCTGCGGCCCGGTGCTGATCCATGGACCGGGGGTTGGGGACCCCTGCTCAAGACATTGCAAGGAGGCCTTGCTCTAAAAATCTAGTGATACCCAAACTCCAGCTTTTACTGATAATAAAAGTACTGTTCCTTGAATAGCTTATCATGGCTAAAACCTCTAAACTGGAAATAATTTCACTTATTTCTTCATTGCTGCTACACTATTTTGTAAGATAATTTTTCATTTACATAATGAAAATATTGCCATAAATCACTTCAAAGTGGCAAGAGTAGCTTGGAATTCAGCAAGCCTTAGACAAGTAAACATGTTCTAGTATTCTGAATAAATGCTCAGTGCTCATTCCTTCCTTCGGAATAATATTACACTTTTGCTAGAAATATCCCATTGGGTGGTTTTCTGGTCTTCCCCATTATAAGCTTGTGAAAAAAATGAGCTAAAGACCTACCTACTGGTAATATATTTTTTTTCAAATTTAACAACTCCAACTTACTTTGATGAGATATCTGGTAATATCTCTGCCAGCAATATCCAGTCTCCTGGTGAGATGAGGAAGAGAAAAGCCTTCATAGACTGGACAGATGTGAGTAACACCATCTCCAGAATCCACAACAACACCAGTTAGCAAACCTGAAGAAAAATAGCAAACGGAAAATAAAACAAAAGAAAAATAAGAAAAACAAAAACCCTCACGAGACCATTTCAATCTGATTTCAAACATATACTACCTTGGTCTTCCACACTGATCACTTAGGTTTGCTGAAAGTGACAGATAATTTTCTTAGAATTATTAGTGGTATTTTAGCTATAAAAGTATGTTAGTTACAACATTCTGCTGGGAAAAAAAATCATCTGTAATACAGGATACTTTATTTTATTTTATTTTTAAATTTCTTTTTTCTTTTTCTCTTTACAAAAAACAAAATACAAAGTACATTTTTCTTTTTCCTTAACAATACTATGTCCTATATCTCTTACATTTATTTACACTTATTTACCTTACTTCTCATACTTTTTTATTCCTCAATTCTAACCAATTGTAATACCTGTCCCATATCTCATAAAATTCTCACAGGTGCCACTTCTACTGGCACAACCAATTCTAAAAATGTGGTATGTTCACAGATGTTTTTCCATACAGAACATTATAATGTGCAGCTGTTGTTTTTCCTAAAAATACTTGGGATGTTATTTTGTCTCTCAGGCTTCAATGTTAACATCTGCAAGATGCCAATAGAACATTAATTGGACTGAGCTATAGTTCTTGTTAGATTCAGGTGAAGTGATGGAAATGATGAATTAATGTTCGGAATCAGTAATAAAATGGATGCAAGGCAGTAAAATCACATTCAGTCCAGACAAGAAAAATTCTGTTTATAGCTGACTAAACTAGAAAGGAAAGGTTTTTTTAAACTAGATTTTTATTTGCTTAAGCTTTTAAGCATGTAATACCATCTGGTTCTGAGTTTACTACCTTATTGTTCTAATGTGTTTTCTCACTGTGCTGCACTTTGTTCCCTTCTGTGGAACAAAGCACAATGCTAAAATATTTTTCAAATACTTTCTATTTACATATATAGATCTTAATATTTTACGAAGTATATCTTAAAACAACCCAATAACAGAACTTCAAATACTCATAAAAACAAAAATTATAACAGCAGAAACAATAAAAACAGCAACTAAAATCATAATGAAGTAATTAAAAAAACACAGATGAATTTATACAATAATGCATTTGGATTTACACTTTAAATTTATTAAGCAAAATAATATCCTTAGACAAAAATACTATCAGAAAGGCTGTCTAGTTTAAGGAATTTTTGTTAATTTGGATTTGGTTCAAATATATTTCTTTATGAACATATAATTCAAAGTAAAACTTATTCTCACCTTGTGCATATAGAGTAAGAACTGCTTGAATGGCTACATAAACCCCAGAAAACTGGTATGTTTCAAACATCACCTGAAAGATAAAAAATGCCTTTTGTCTGCAAAACTGAAAATTACATAGCTATGAAATATGGAAGATGATTACAAGTATTTCCTAAACAATATGAAACATACGTTGCTGTGTAAACTCTTTTTTCTTAAAAGCAACATAAGAAAAAGCATAATTGTGTTTGAGAAGTGCAATATGAATTAATACCTAGTTTCGCAGGAAGTGAGTTTTATTACTCAAACAGAAAAGTGAAAACTTCCTTAAATAGTTTCTGCCATTCTCTTCCTCATTTACTTATTACTGTGCCAAAACTACTATTGAGTATATAATCTAAAATTTTATTTTGCCCAAAATTAGACCTATTATGTTTTTGTTTATTTACAGTCCATTACCAATATTTTAAAATATTTAAAAGACAATATAAAAATACATCTGATATAAAACAGCAGTATAAATTAACAATATAATAAAATGATGCAAAAAATCCTCAAGCAATAATAGCATAAGGGAAGCACCAGATGATTTTTACACATTATGGCTATTGTTAAAAAATTAGCAACCTTGTTGGCAATATAGGTAGTCCTCGACTTATAGCCACAATTGAGGCCAAAATTTCTATTGCTAAGCAGGATAGTTGTTGAATGAGTTTTGCCCCATTTTCCATCTTTCTTGAAAGTGAATCATTACAACTGTTAAGTTAGTACATGGTTGTTAAGTAAACCTGGCTTAACATTGACTTTGCGTGTCAGACAGTCACAAAAGGTGATCACATGACCCCAGGACACTGCAATAATCGTAAATACAGGCCATTTGCTAAGTGTCCAAATTTTAATCACGTGACCACAGGGAGCTGCAACTGCCATAGGTGTGAAAAACGGTCATAAGTCACTTATTTCAGGGCTGTTGTAACTTTGAACAGTCACTTAAAAAATGGATGTATAAGTCAGGGACTACCTGTAGGTGAAATTTGATCATCTAGGAAAAAAACAAGGAGCAATTAAAATGTTTAGTAATTGTTATTATGAATTAAGTCCTCCATTTATTGTCTAGAACAGCAGTCCCCAACTTTTGCAGCTTAGAGGCCTGGCTGGGGGGGAGAGAGAGAGAGGAGACCTGGGCTGTGCGAGTGGTGGGCCGGTGCGCGTGTGCAAGTACAACTCAACTTGCATGAGCGGTGGGCCAGTGTGCACTCACATGCGCACACAGCTCGACTACCAAGAAAATTTTGGATACCTCCCTGTTTCACTAATTTGGCTGCAAATGTTGGTATCTCCCAAAAAAAATTATATATGAAAGTTACAGCCAATGCTAAGAGTTTGTAGTTTAATGGACTATACATGTTTCAAAGTGTTTGCTTTTAAAAAAGTTTAAATATGAAAGATACAGCCAATGCTAACTAAGAGTTGTAGTTTAATGGACTATACATGTACTTGCCTTTTAATTAAAATTAGTAAATAATCTAATGCAAATATTAAAATTATTCAATAACGTAACAAGATGATATGGTAATACAGAAGGTATTTATCAGTTAGAGTCATAGAAATAAATATATTTCTTTAATATTCTAATTTATTTATTATTCTAATTCATATGGTGCCTATCTCTTAGCTTACAAAGTTAAAACAATAAAAACAACCAAACAATATATCCATTTAAAACAATAAAAGACAAAAGCATACAAAACTCATCATAAATATTCACAGAAATCACATTGATGATACTGCAACCCACGGTGTCGGATGATCTCACCCAACAGCTTCATGTAAATGTTAAACAAGAAAGGAGAAAGTACCAAACCCTGTGAGATTTATGCCATAAATTAATTTTATTTTACTTAGAAAAGTGGTAATAAGAATTAGGCTGTGATTGAAAGACAGTTAATATGTATAAGGGAGCAAAAATGTGTATATATTATACACACACTCACATAGAATTCTGTGGAAAACTGTCACAATTGCAGATTGCTAAAGTTGTTGTGGCAGATGGTTTTATTGGAAGTTACTTTCAGTACGAATAGAGACTTCATATAAACTTCTTAGTACTTCATACAAGATTTTAACATTCTCAGTGGATTCAAAATGGAATATATTTAGCTCCATTAAATCATTCATTTGTAAATATTTAATTTGCTAGCTTTATAACCCACCTTTTCTGCATGAACTGAAGGCAGCTTACATGAGGATTGAGACTGAGCAGAGAAAATGAACCTAAAGTCAACCAGTAAGTTTTCATACCTGAGAGTGGACTTGAACTGCAATTACCTCAGCCATGTTCAATGTTTTAATCCAGGACTTTGTAAACCAGGGGTAGTCAACCTTGGCTCTTTTATGACTCGTGGACTTCAACTCCCAGAATTCCTGAGCCAGCTGTGGGAGTTGAAGTCCACGAGTCATAAAAGAGCCAAGGTTGACTACCCCTATTGTAAACTGTAGTATGGAACCCAGTTTGGTATTTGCAAAATATATTTACAACTATTTCTTTAGGCAAAGCAAGAGCACTCCCAGAACTTGTTCTTGTTTTGTCTAGGCAAGCCTATAAGTTAACTTGAGTATGGAGGATGGCTAAACCTATATATGCATCCATCTGTCAACTAGGGCAGTTTTAAAGTTTATTTATCATTTAGTTTTATTCATGAAGGGGTGTCACACAAATTCATTTATCGTGTTAAGAGATTGCAGTATTAAAAATTTAGGAACGCTTGCTTTAAATCTTTGTCTAGGTTTCACTACAGTATCTTGATTCACTATAGAGAGAATACTGAATTATGTCTAGTTTGTCTGGCACTGCTATTTTAGCTCTGCTCAAGGGGAAAAAAAGAATGGATGCAAGATGCATTTTCATTTGTCACTTTCTCGATAAAATTAATGCAGAGCTACTCAAGCTAATGATCTAACTCTACAGTCTTCTTCTGGAGAAACAGCCAGAGTGGTGCAGTGGTCAACTTGTTAGAGTAGGATTGCTAGGGGAACAAAATGAAAATGAATTCCCATGTAAACCACTTGAGCTCTTCAAGGATAGGTGGGATATAAACAGAGGGGGAGAGATACTGTATATCTTTAAGCAGTTTTTAAATTTATTTAAGTTCTGAGAATTCAGTCAGTTTTATGTATTCCCACCAAAACTGTTCTTTAATAAAATGGTTTACACCACATATACAATATATTATGACACAATTCCAATTTGTAAATGAGGTATTTATACCATCAGGCAAGGACAAATTGGACCATAAATAGATCCAGATTCAGCAGCCATTTTTTGTTTCTTGCTCCACTAATAAGAGGTGCATTCATAAAGTATTTAAAAGGTGGCACAAAATGTAGCAGCCTGAGTACTGATGCAGGAGTACAACATTCATCAAAATGTTATTCAGTGCTTAAGTATTTACTCTGAATTCCTCATTTCATTTAAGCAATACAGGATATTGCTCAAAATCCAAGATCAAACAAGCAAAAATATAATCACCCAATTGGGCTTTCTCCTCCTCCCATGCAGCATTCAACCCGTGCATTCAACCTTGAAATCTTTTCCTGACCATTAACTGGAAAGGGTACACGGTAACAATTTCAGAAGGAAGAAGTTAAACTTCATTTTGTTCTGCTAATGAGATTATTTTATCAAGTTAATAATTTTATTAGTTCTGGTTATAAAGATCTTTTAGAAGTTTTTCTCTCTTCAACTTTATCAGTAAAATCCATTTCCCTCTGAGCTCCAAATTCAGAAACTATTGTCAATTTGTAATCAAGTCCTAGACTTGATAAATCTCAAGCATGACTATTTTCTGACATGCTGTAAAATGAGTAATTAAAGTGAAATTGTACTGTTTTCCAACAAACCTCTTAGTCCTCAACAAATATATGGAAACCAGAATCAATAAAGATAAAAAAAATTACTGCAAATTTAATATGTTTAATTTACTACCCAGATTACATTACCATATGCCAGTGGTGGCGAACCTATGGCACGGGTGCCAGAGGCGGCACTCAGAGCCCTCTGTGTGGGCACGCACACCATCGCCTCAATCCTAGGCCTTCAGCTGGTTTTTATAAAACCTTTTCGATTTAGGCCTCCGCCGTTGTGTGCAAAAAAAAAAAAAAAGGTTCAATCAATCAGTCAATTTCAACTTCTCAGAGGAAAAAAAATCTTGCAAAGTTGTAATTGATTGATTGAACTCCCACCCAGTCTGCCGTTACCACCGCAGCCACACCCACCCAATGGGCCACACCCACCCGGCACCCGACGATGCATAAGTGGGTTTTGGGTTGCAGTTTGGGCACTTGGTCTCTAAAAGGTTCGCCATCACTGCCATATGCCATTTAATTGTGAAACCACAATATGTGTTATGTGATCCTGAGGATATATTTATACACCATATGTAAAAATGTGTCATTGCCCTAAGCTAGACCTCCAACCTGTGATTTTTCCACATTCACTGCATTAACAAAAACTATTACAATTCACCTATATAATATAAATTTAGCAACAATAGGACATTTCATTTGTTGATAGGATCTTCTCCTCTAAGTAAGAATTAGTAAGAATCTCAGGCCAAATTCTCAACTGAGCCAGACTATTCAACTTCCAGTTTTTGAGTGGAACATCAGATCATAAAAAATTGCTCTATTTGGAAGTAAGCCTATTACATTTGATGTACTTTTCTTTCAAATTCTTTTTTTTTTTTAAACAAGGAAGTTTATCATATTTTTAACAGAATTATTAAAAATATTTGCAAGTATGTGATTTTATTTTAGACAAAAATATGCATAACTTCATTGAAAAAGCATTCTATAGAACTTCACTTCTACAGTACTGCTTTTTAAATAATTTCTGAATATAGATCTAATCTGACCTTTGATAAAATGTCAGCTTGACTCTTATTCATTAAAACTAAATAAAAGTTATCCTGAAGAATGAGTAAATTAAGAAATGCTGTTTTCCCTTAAGAAAAACTAATTCTAGGTTGGATAGAATTATTTTTTTTTTTAAAGGGCACTTACCTCCACAATCTTTTCTCTGTTCTTTGTTGGATTCATAGGAGGTTCTGTAAGAAGTATTTTACAGTTTTTTGTATCGATGTTGAGTTTTTCTGGTCCAAAGGTGTAATCCCAAAGATGTTTCATATCATCCCAATTTCGGACAATGCCATTCTCCATGGGGTAATTGACTTCCAGCATTGATCTCAACTCACTTGCTTCATCCCCAACCATAAGATCCTACAATTTGCAAATGGATACTAATAAATTGTTATTTTCTATAAACTTTTATTGGAATATATGTTTTTTAAAAAGAACCCTCCCATAAAATGAAATGGCTTTTCTAGTTATCCTTTATGATACGACATTTGAGGGGGAGAAATTGATTTATATACTCAATTGAAAAGCATAAAAAGGCATTAATAATGAAAAAAATACAACCACCACTTTTTAAATAGTTATGTCCATATACAGTTCACGGATTTGATTCATTTTCATGCAGGTAAGTTTATGTCACCTGAGACTGATTTTAAATAATGTTAACATTATATACCAACTACTGTTGAAGCCTCAGGTGTATTAGGGATTGTAGATTTTGCTACCTTCAGCGTTACTTTATCATAAATATATACATAAGATCTTGAAATTCTACACAAGAAGAATAGGTGAATTTAGCAGAAAAAAATTTCCATGCATGTTTCATGTTTCTGTAAACATTACTAAATGGTAATAACGAGTGCTGCATAAGCATAGAGAACAAGTAGCAAAAGCAAATAAGGGACTGCAAATTTCACACTGATTAGAAAAAAATGGATGTTTTATATTAGTCTACAGTAAAAAATTGATATCTGAGAGCCATTTATTCCAAACCTGGGTTACTGTTCTCCTGCACAAAAATATGAACTTCACTTCTAAGTCTTAGTTTAAATACTTTCAAATGATTCAGGAGTCCTATCATTATCATAAAAATTACACAATACTTTGTTCTATAAAATAATGATGAAGCTCCATTGGCTGTTTTAACAACACATGAATACAAGATTATTTTTAAGTTTTTGTCCCATCCCATCATTATCCTAATTAATATATTAAAAATAAATATATTTCATAAGGAACCATTAAATTTGACTTCAGGTTTTGAAGTTAATATTCCCCATAAATGGAAGCAGATATTAAGTATCTTCTAACAAAAAAAAAGAACTAGCATTCAGTGACTAAACAGCACAATGTCTGAATCATTGTGGTAATCCTAAAAACTAACGATATACAGAATTGTCAATTAGCTTTCAGCAATGTAGTTTTCTTAGGGCTGTAAAGCCAAATTAATTTTTTTAATAGAACTGCAACAGTTTATTTATTGTAAAAATGTGAATACAGCCCTTTTCTAATTCAAGACAGTTCACCCTATAATAGATCAAAAATTGTAGTTGTAATTAAACAGCCTGTCAAAAATCATTCATGAATCCAAGCAAAATTGTTTATGTTTCAGAAATAATCTGGATTGGACTCAAAAATTTCATCATCACTACACTAGTTCTATAACACTGCTTTAAAATATTAATGTTTAACCATATACAACACTCGTTCACTTACACCAGCTTTTAGTGCATGCTTCAGAGATGATTTGCTTAAAACTAAATTTCAGAAGCATGAAAAAACTTTACTGAATTGTCCATTCAGTTTAAAAAGGTGTAAGAAAGAATCACCTATGTGGGAACATAACAATACAGAACATACTTAGGGTAGATTCACACATATAAACCAAGTGCTTTTCTCATCCTGTTGTAAGAATTTCTTTCATCTTTGAAAATAGGACTTTGTAGAAAAGTACATGCGTGTCTTCTTTTGTTTTTATACAGATGCATATTTCCGTAATTATTTTAGCTTTGCTTTAAGGGACAAATCTTTGATTGCCATTGCACTAATAAATTCATTTATGAATAAATATAACTATTTCACTAATGTGAAACTTGGATATGATCCAGAGGCATGAAAATTACAATAGAAGGCTTTATGAAGAAAAAAAAGGCAGTTTCTATGTGTGAACTATCCTACTTGTTCGAATGATCCCACAGAATAGGTCTTGCCCATACAGCAAGTAATGTGTGGGTATTTTCCGTATGTTTCATTTCTGTCGAGTTCAATAAGTGGTTTCTAGCATAGGTACTAAACACATACAGACCTGTAGATGTCTTGCATTTGCAGTTAACTACAAATATCTACAAGAATTGGATGTACTAGCTACCAAATCAAAATGATGAAGAAAGATTAAAATAGGAATGTATTCAAAACATAAAAATAATACAGGACAAAGGGGAAAAAAGCACACAAAGAGAAAGAAAGAAAGAGAGAGAGAGAGAGAAAGGCTACAAGCCCCATGAAGCAAAAGAGTGGATGATAGCAAGGGGCGCCTCACTTACCATCTTTTTGTTATTCTACTTCAACAGGTCAAGAAAGATGAAGAAAAGGCAGAAGCAAGAGAATCAGAAGAGGCCCTGGTGAAACCTTTATCCAAATTATTTCAAGTATACATAACAGAAACAAAGCAGAAAAACAGATGCAGAGATAGGTGGAAATGCTTTGAATATAGCATACTTTAAGATAAGTGACAGAAAGGCTACCGTTAAAAGAACCCAAACTAAAACGTAACACAAAAATAGCTCCAAGAAAAGGTTATTTCCATGCACACAGTGGCTGATGGTTTTATCAAAAATGCTCTGCAGATATCCTCCTGTATCAGCAAATTTGCTAAGAATAAACCTTCCCCCATGTTAATCTCAATGAAATTCAATCATAACCAAGTAAATCTATCTATATCCTTCCCCAGGAACTAGCAATAAATTTAACATGTTCAATATCTTGATTGCTCTAAGATTGTAAACATGAACATATTTTGACAGACAAGCAAATAAGAAACTAGCATTTACAAAACTGTTAGTTAGATGTTAAGATTCCAAAGGATATTCTACTCACAACATAATTCACCAGCCAAGTACAGCACACACTCATTTGCTGAGACTGCTAATAAGCAAGGTGCCTAATTAACGTGACGTTTCACTAATATACAAACTTTAGCACTTACAATTGCTATAAAATTTACTTAGATCGTTTTCAGGAGCGAATGTTTAATTAAAGTGAGATAAATGAGATTTTAATCTTTGCAATCTTTGTAAACTTTAACAGCCTCTTAAACATTATCTATGTTAACACCTTCAGTCTTAAAACAAATTTATTAAGCCTAGTGATTATTTAATCCTAAATAATAAAAACTCCATGATGTAAAAAACCCAGTTGGATTGTGCTGCCACAATTTCTTTGCTGACAATCTTTTGCTTAACTATTTTCATCATCTATCTTTGGAAATACTTATAAGAAACCTACATCTGGCAGTCCTAATCTAATCTGCTGCACTCTCAGAACCGCCATGCATAGTAGTTAGAAAGTGGTAAGACTCCTTTTAAAAAATACTAATTAATTGCGCTTGTAGTTTGTAAGGTAGTCAAAACATTGAACATCCTTGCTTCTCTGTGTTTGTCGGGGGGGGGGGTTATTTCCAAACCCACTTTGCCTATTTGGGGGATGAGCAGAAATGGGAACTGTACATTACACTGTCTCTAAGATGCTATAAAGTAGCCAAAATAGGAGAAAGAACACACATTTACACCCAAAATAGCATACCAGACAGGAAGAGTACACAAGCTCCTAAATAGTAAGCGAGTGGGACAAATTATTTATTACAAAAAGAAAAAAGTGTCACCATGTTTTCTTTTTTTGTTCTATCAAAAGCATAGGATTGCAATGGCTACACTATTAGGATATAAACTGGCCAGAAACCCACCTAATTAATTAAATAGCAATTTTTAAGATACCATCCCCAATGGCTAAGAATGGCCTTAGTATTATCCTGTTTTAGAATGCGAGAGGAATTCCAGATTTGACTGTTTATGCACTCAAATGGCTAGGGGACATGAAGGAAGCCTCCCTCTGGGCAACAGTGTTGTCACCAGCAAAAATTTTTAACCTACAGTAGAAGCACCCTTTAATTAGCTTGGTAGGTGCTTCTGACATAAATATAGATAGACTCAAATTGCCTGTTATCTATCTCCATCAGGCACCCATGTGCTAAGCAGGGGTAGGCAACCTTGCCTCTTTTATGACTCATGGACTTCAACTCCCAGAATTCCTGAGCCAGCATGGCTGGCTCAGGAATTCTGGGAGTTGAAGTCCACGAGTCATAAAAGAGGCAAGGTTGCCTACTCCTATGCTAGCTGAAAGGCAGCCTTTAAAAATCAAGCACTGCAGATTCAATGTTGCAATACGTTTCACCATAGCCTCCTTTTAAACAAATAGTTATTTCCCCTTCTCTCAGATTATACGCTTGTCTTGCTCAGAGTCCCCCCACCACACCTTAACAGTCTGAGTTTTGCAATCTGAATACAGCACCTTCACTATACTTGCTGGGGAGATTTCAACATGCTCCCTTCACCCGTACATCTTGATAGTAAGACAAAACCATTTTTTTAAATGTTATTTTAGGGAACGACTATGGGGAGAATGCATCCAATAAAATAAAGCAGCTATCAGGAAGCTCTGCTGGAGGAGGAATATATTACCTACCACAAAATAAATGAATTCTGCATGGTAGAGGGTCCGAACATGGAAGAACAAAGATAACATACAAACGTTTCTCCTGGTGTTGTAGAGAAGCAAAAACAATTTTTTAGCCCAGAACAAAACCACAGCCTTATATGGAGACAGATACAGAGCACAAAAGTCAAGAGAAGCTTGGAGAAGGAAAAAAAAAAAAACCCCAATCGATTGTACAGTATATTGCTTCAATCTATAAATCTATCAAATCAGCTAATTTCTTGTCTCTATGGAATACTCTGCTGGTCAAGGCTAACAATTAGAAAGTGAGATATTCTCTTATTGACTTGTCTCTCACAGAACAAATTGGAAGAGGCTACAGAACCTAGATTGCATTTATGTATTTATTTATTTAGGCTTATCAGCCATTTCAGTTATGATTAACTCTAATTCTCTTGTAAGAGGAATATGAGGTTTTTGCATTGCCATATTATATCTTTCTTTAGCTTTAAAGCAGAATACATTCCATGTATTTAATTCATAGGAATGGAGTTCAGCGTATACCTTATGAAGAAAAGTGAGGGAGCTAATATTGGTAAAAGATTTCATGAGGGTAGATAAACAAACAATACCAGGGGATTTTTCTTCTCTTTCACGCAAGTAAAATAACAAGTTGTTAGAACAGACATGTCAAACTTGCGACGTCACGTGATGCCGCGCAATGTATCGGAGCTTTTTTGCCATTGCCGGCAATGGGGTGGGCACGGCTCCGGTATGATGAAACTGGCCCGTGGGCTGGCAGTTTGACACACCTGTGTTAGAAGAAACACCCAGAGAAAAAAATGCCACATCCTATTTTTTTATATCAATGTGCTAATTCTTTTTGCAAACTAATAACTTTGCTGAGTTATTTGATCATCACATAATGTCTCAGAAGCAATTATTCTGAGGAAGAGAAAAACACCCCAAATTACCATGCAAGGAATCAAGTTTCTTAAGTATTACCTTGATTTCAATGTTTCCCACTTTGGCAGTTGAACGAATAATTGGTCTTCCAACCAACGCAGGGAAGATATGTTCTGGAAAATTGGATCCTGCATATCCACATTTCACAAACTATAAAGGAAAAAAACATCCTTCACGTTAGTTTCCAGATATGTTATTCTATAATTTTACCAAACACTTTAAAGATCACTAGATGTATCATTTAATAACTTTTGAAAGCAACCTCTTCTGCACTCATATTGTTTTGTTTCACAGGAAATAGCTGAAATTATGAAAACACAGATACACATTCTAAAGGCTATACCTGGTTAAATATACCCAAGCCATTATCTAAACTATAATTAAATTTCTCTAGATTTTAAATTTATCCCAATAAAAGACACTATATATGTGATATGGAGACAAGAGTAAAAATCTGCAAATCTTGGCTATCATGAAAAAGTTAAGATATACAAAGAGGCTTAAAGACAAGCCTCCTTAATTTGCAAAATTTACACAGATTAACACACCAGATATTTTATGTCATTAACAATCCTGGCATTATCAATTATCATTGAATTTGCAAACAGTTGCTAAACGAGGTAGTCGCTCAATGAGAAATGGCTCTACTCTTCTGCTGATGCAATGTAGGAATGACTTTCTTTTCTTCTTCTTTTTTCTTCCTTCCTTTCCCTTCTCTTCCCTTCTTTTTCTTTCTGGCTGCTGCATCCTGGTGTTGACTTATGTTATCTTGTAACTCACAAGATACCAAGTCTGTATGTACTACTCTCTAGTATAGTTTCCTCCACAATGTATACTTGACTTTTCCTACACAAATATAGGATTTTGTATTTGTCCCAACTGAATGTCTATGTACAGCAAGGCACAGATAATGTTGGTGAAAAAAAATGCAAGAATCTTTAGTAGGTACTGTAAAAGAGATACAAAATAATATTTCAGCCTTGGGAAAGGTGTGAGCTGAAAAAAAGGTTTAAACTAACCCTGCTTTTATTCTATGCGGCACATAGGAGGCAGAAATAAACCCTGGCAGCTTTCTAGATTCATGATTTCAAGACTCACACTGATATTACCTAGTTGGTAATCATCTGCAAGCAAACAGACAAGCTCAGAGAGCATCAAGAACTCCACATTGCAAGATTCGTATTTTTATTTAACATTCTTCCCTATAGAGTTCTAATAGTCCTTGTGATATTTACTTCTTAACCTAGCTATCTCAAGGGGCTGATAGTACAGAAGCCCAAGTAAATAAAATAAAGCTCATCTAGCTAATTTCTGCCCCTTGATCCACCTTCACAACTCCTAAATTTACATACAAGTAGTCCTTGACTTATAATCACTCAATTAGTGACCATTCAAACGGCATTGAATGATGTCACTTATGACTGTTTTTCACACTTACGACCATTGCAGCATCTCCATGGTCATGTGATCAAAATTCGGAGGCTTGGCAACTGGCTCATATCTAAGAGTGCTGCAGTGTCCTAGGCTCATGTGATTACCTTTTGTGACCTTCTGACAAGCAAAGTCAATGGGGAAACCAGATTCACTTAACAACCATGTTACTTAGTGATTCACTTAACAATTGTGGCGAGAAAGTTCATAAAATGAGGCAAAACTCACTTAACTGTCCTACTTAGCAATATAAATTTTGGGCTCAATTGTGGTTATAGGTTGAGGACCACCTGTATTGTTTTCCTAGATATCTGCTATCCTTCTCCAAGTTTATGTCATCCTCAAATGTATTTTTCACTTCTTATCCAATTGATTTATAATGCAATTGAACAATGTGGATCCTAAAAGGGAGCCTTTCAGTATGCCACTGAACACATCAGATAAGGCTAGTAATACATATTTTGGGGAAAAAATTATTCAATCAGTTCTATATTCATTTTATGGAAAATTCAGATGTCCCCACCTGATCAGGATCTGAACAGGGAGAAACCAAAGTAAGATGGAATAGCTGTTAATTCAAAAGTTACTGATTCCAGTACTATACCATCTCAGTCTACACAATATTTGACCCTTGATTGGGGTTCTGTTTCCTCAGACACAGCAGGCTGCTATAGGAGCAGGCAAAGGCCATGGCTAGTTGTTCTTTATTCAGCTTTGGCTAGTATATCAGTTGTGACCTTACCCGATACAGAAACCACTGAAGAAAAGTCACCCACACCCTTGCCATATTATGTCTGGGAACCATTAATCCAGAGCATCTTTTTAAGATTTATTGTTAATGTGCTGGCCTTTACCGAAATGATTACAGCATCCAACCAATAATCAGACACAACTAAATTGCAAGATAGTGGTAGTACGGTAGTAAGCTAGAGCACACTCACACAAGGTGACGCAAAAATAAACTGTTGTTTAAATAAAGGATGAAACCTAAATAGAATGAAATAAAAATAAAATTCTTTACAAATCTTTTATAACGTTTTAGAAAAAATCTATGTTTACACTTTCAGTCTGTCTCCTTTCTTGGTAAATTATCAAGTATTAAAGGTGATACAATTACTCTGTTAAAAATAATTATAGCTAGTGTTAAGCACTAACTATTAAAGAGTAATAATTCATGGTAGTTTCTCCTGAGAGAAATGATAAACTAACATTTATTTAGACCAGGGGTCTTCAAACTTGACCCATTATTCTGTGTTTGTGCAATATTAGGCAAGTTTGACTGACACAAACTTTAAAACATTCAAAACCAGAAATATTAAATATTAATTTCAACCTATTAAGTCTGATTTTTTCAATTGGTACCTATTTATTAATCAAATTTACTAATTTATTAAACAAAATGCATCTAGCTTTCATAAATATTTATATCAATGTTGAGTAATCCTATTTCTCTTATATGCAAAGCAAAACCATAAAATATTCATACAGTCCCAGCTTCTCTCAATGACATTAGAATCATCTCAAATTAACAAAATCACAATAAATGTATTTGATATAAAAACAATGAAAACTTTTTTTTAAAGACTATGCTGATTTTTTTTTTAAGAATGAAGAAAACCTTTACATTTCCAATCTAATAGGAGGGTTTCAGCAAAAGCAAAGGACACAAGATCAGATAGCTAATATAATGTGAAAGCAACATGTGCTACAAGAAGAATTAAAGAAACAATCCTGGTTCAACAGAAGTTCTGATTATCAGTAGCAAACATTCATATTCTGGACATGTGACAAAACTGTATGTACTAGAAAATAGCTACTCTGCTTGGCAAGGTTGAAGGAAGTACATAAGATAAAAATCAACTCGACCTCTGAAGTGAAGGTTACTTCAATGTGCTACTTCTTTATTTATAGAGCATTTGCATATGTGTTTAAAGTCCCTTTTTTTAGCATACTTTTAAAAGAGACTCTTGGTACTTTCCTTGTCTTTGGACCGTTCATTGCTTCAAATAAAAAGCCCTGAAAATCGCACTCAAGGAAACTTCGCTTGGGTAACTGCCTATAAAATTTGGAGGTGGGGCGAAGAAGCGTCATGCAACACTTTTTTTCTTCTTTTCCCCAAGCCAAGTCCTAGCAATGCAGGACTGTTGCGACTTCCGGTGCATAACCAAAAAAAAACAAAAAACAAAAAACCCCAGTCCATTTGAATGAACGAGAAAGATTAAACCATACCCCACATACAGGAAATCGTTCTGCTCGGGGTTGAGTAGCAGGAAGGAAAGGCGCAACGGCGAAGTTAGAGGCAGAGCTAACTGGCTGAAATGTGTAGTAGCTTAATAACCGGCTGACGGCAAAATAATAGAAAAGGAGGGAGAGCGAACGAATCGCCCTCCAGCCTTCCCGTCCCTGGGCTGGCCAGAGGGAACAGGACGAAACCGAAGGCGCCCCCGCATCTTCTGGGCTGCAGGACGGGAATGAGAAGCCGGGAGCCCCGAGCCTTTTGGAGGGAAACGTCTTTTCTACGGAAAGGAAGCGGGTTTTCCTGCCAGCGCCCTAAAAGAGCCGCAGCTTCCTTGAGAAGGCGCAGCCCAACTTCCCTCCGGCCAGGAGGGTATATTTTGTTTGTTGCGGCTGCTGCTGCTGCAGCCAGGCCCACGAGGGTCTCCCCACCCACCTTCTACCAAAACCGGCCATCCCCGAAAAGCCCAGCCCTCTTTGCTCACCCCGGTGCCGTTGTCGCAGACGACTACTTTCCTGCCGAGCGCGTCCATCTTCCTTCCTCCGCCGCCGACCGAGAGAATGACTGAACTGAATGACAGCGAATGCCCCGTCCCCGCCCGCAGCTCCACCAGGCCTTCGCTAGTTCTCGCAGCCCGGAAGGGAAGCAAAAGGAAACAGGCGCCGACCACGCCCGGCCATGACCCGCCTCCGCCATTCACCCGAGAAGCGCCGGCAGCCGCCGCCGCCGACCGCCCTCCCACTTCCTTTGCCATGACTGACAGGCTCGGCGACGTCCAATCAGAGATGCGGTTTTCCCCGGGCGTCCATATTTGTACCGATCGTTCCCCTGCCGGGGCGTCTTCTCGCAGTTGCTTCCTCATTCAATTCGGCTGTTGCCAGGGCAGCGGTGCTGGAACCTGGGCCTTTTGCTAAAGCAGTCGCTGCTTTAGGGAACAGTAGCGGCTGACGATTTGCGGGAAGTTATGATAGAGCTCGAGATTAAAACTAGTTGCCATTATTATATGCACAAGATGAAATCACAGCTGCCAGTTCTTTAGCTGGTGTTCACCTTCATTGGCATAAAGTTCTTCCCAAGAACCTAGGATGTCGTAATGTATTCGCCTAGTACGGAATATGTGCGGATCCGAGTAGGGTGGTCAAGGGGTCCAAATCTGACTTAGTACAGATGTTCCAAGGAGCATTGGCTGATTTTTAGTCTTTGGACAGGCAAGTAGTTTTGATTAGTGCTTAAAACTATATCCAAAAGAATCCTGACAATCAGCTGATGGATTCTCTTATACCATTCAACACAGAACATTTTTGCCAAACCAGAATGGACGTGAGCAACCTTTTCACATGGATTAGATATAGCAGATGGCTGCTATGCTCATATTTATAAAGTTCAGCTTGCATTATCTGTCACATATCAGTAGTATCTCAGGGTGGTTAAGATCTCTGAGGCAAGGATCAGGTTAGATACCTGATGTGCATCAAGAAGCTAGTTTGAAAGAACAGACTATTCCACTCCCCATGAGCCTAGAAAATAGTGAAGAGACGGACTCTGCTCAAAGCAGCCATTTTTAAATTTTATTTTAGTCCATTTGTATGGCCTTCAACTTATAAATCACTCTGGGTGGCTAACACTAAAAGTGGCCAAAAAAGTATAAAGAGTAAATAATAGAAAAAGGATGCAAAAACACATATAAACTTTTGCTAGGGTCAAAATTCACATGTATTAATATATATGTGTTTCTCCTGCAGGGAAATAGTTCCACAACACAGCTCTGAAAGTCAGTTAATATTTATATTCGTAGTTCAGGCAGGCTGGTTTCAAAGTAGTTCATCGTCTCTGCCACACCGATAAGCAGCCCCCAAATTTTTCCCTTTTCCCAGCTGCAGTCTTCAAAAGTGAAAGTTCCCAAGGTCAACAAGAGTCTTATCTAAATCTGGGCTTCAAGCCAGGTTTCCTTTAGGCATAACAAATTGTAGTGCCATAATTTGCCACTAGATGTCATTAGCGCCGTTTTCCATTTTTTTAAATCCAAACTTATATTAAAAGCTTTTCCAATCTTTTTTTTAATTCTCAAAAGCACTTTTAGTCCCCAAATATTAAAGCCATATATGTGTATTAATTCCAAATTAATCTTGTAATTTTCTCTGTTTCCCCCAAGTAATTAGTTCACCACTTTTCTTTTCCTGAGGAAATGGGGTAGAAATTCCCCTTCCCTCTCTCATTGGGGAGGGTGCTTTGGTCAATTTTTTCAGGAAGAAGTCTTAAAGTCATAAAGAGAGGATAGAGTTTCACCCAGTTTCATCCACATTGCTGAAAGGTTCCTTGTTAGTGCTTATTGTCTTCGTCAGCAGCTTTTGACTGGCTACACGAATGTAGCCGGTTGGGGGGGCTTCCTCAGATCAAACGGAAGGGCTGCCACCCTCCCATGATCAACGAGGGTTCCCTCCTTGCTTGTCGCCTCTACAGGGGGACTTTTGACCCTTTCCAGGGTCCCCAGCGGGGCAAAATCGAATGCAAAAGACGGAGCCCCATCTTCCTACACCCGTTCTGCCACAACATCAAACTGGAAGCCACGTCTTTTGCATCTTAAACTGTAACTCTAGCCACTTTGTTCTAAATGACAAAGTGTCTGGTTTTGTGAATAAAATCTCTGAGTGTTTTAGGTCATCAGCTTCTTGGTGCTCCATGTGTACTGCCACCAGGGTTTCCTCCATTTTTCCAAGTCTCATTGTGTCAGTAATATTGCCGTGATCCAAAAAAATCTAAATCATTGCCTTTGTTTTTTGTTGAAGAAATCTATTTTTGAAAAGGTAAAAAAAAATAATTATTGCGCAGTTTCTATTTGGCTATGCCCTGAGTAAAAATAAAAGTAATTTATTTTATTATTTTAGCACTTGCAAGTCAAGTTGTGATTTATTTAAGTATTTAAGATTGTCCTCATGAATTCATGTAACTGTTGTGTGAATTATAAAATATTTTCTGTAAATGAAAGCCACTAAAGTTGTCTAAGTAACCTAACTTTATTGGACAGTGTTACAATTAATGAAAAATACTCTTACATATATTTATTGCTATAGTATATTGTTCCAACATATTTTTAAATTAAGTTATTAAAATGCTTACAGCATTCAGATTACTTACTGAGAGGTATAATCTCATTGTTTGAGATGACTTTTTGTATTAATTCTATAATAGCAGTATATTTCATACCCTAATATAGTTCTAGCTATATATTAGAAAGTGTTCCTTTTTTCCCTTTTTGTTTTTAAATGGTTAGTATCTCATCTTCAAGCCTTTTTGAAAAAGGATCATGTAATTATTAAATTTTATTAAAATTTTAATTGTTATAACTTCAATTTTATGGGTTATTATTTCTGTCTAACTGCCATATAGTGTGTACACAACCTCTTACTTGACCAGGAAACCCATTTTGCACCAAGTCTAAAAAAGAATTCTTTGTGGTGTTTTGATTAATACAATTTTATTATTTTCATTTAAGAGTTTTTGCAGAATACAGATGTGTCTCACCAGATAACAATACCTAATTGGTTTTGCCTGACCTGAGATGCCAAGCAGGTCTGTGCCTGGTTTTTACTTAGATGGAGATATCCAGAGAAACCCAGAGATGTAGAGTAGATGGGAAATTTTTAAAATATCTGGGCAGAAGGCAGTACAACTCACTTTCATTTTCCTACCAAGAAAGCTACATGGACACATCTCTGAAGTTACCAGGAGTCAATCCCAATTTTATCTTTACAAACACTGATACCATTTTATAAGTTAGTGAGTGGGAGCAATTGGATAATCTAGGACAGCGGTTCCCAACCTTTTCTATACCCAGCATCCCTAGAACGCTTCTGATATATTCTCGCATCCCTTACAAAAGTTCAAAATGAATTATGCATATACTGTACACTATAATTTTGAAACTTCTAAACCAAGTTTTTGCACCCCCTGGAATATTGTCTTCCATCCCTGGTTGGGAACCCCTGATCTAGGATATGCATACTAGTTGCATTAGCTGAGTAATATTCTATCTACAAATCAAATGTTTTTGCTGTATAAAAATTTAACCTGCTTGTATTGGCCTTATATAATTTTAAAAAATAAGTCATCATGACAATTTAGTATGCCAACTTTATGAAGTAGAGATAGTCCTTGACTAACAACCATTTTTTTAATGGCACTGAAAAGAGTGATTTATGACCAATTCTCACACTTACAACCGTTGCAGCATCCCTATAGGTCAGTGATGGCGAACCTTTTAGAGACCGAGTGCCCAAACTGCAACCCAAAACCCACTTATGCATCATCGAGTGCCGGGTGGGCGTGGCCCATTGGGTAGGCGTGGTTGCGGTGGTAACGGCAAACTGGGTGGGACTAAAAAGTTCAATCAATCAATTCCAACTTTGCAAGATCTTTTTTTTCCCCACGAGAAGTTGAAATTGACTGATTGAACCTTTTTTTTTTTTACACACGGCGGTGGAGGCCTAAAGCGAAAAGGTTTTATAAAACCCAGCTGAAGGCCTAGGACTGGGGCGATGGCACGCGTTCTCAGAGAGGGCTCTGAGTGCCGCCTCTGGCACCCGTGCCATAGGTTCGCCACCACTGCTATAGGTCAAATGATCAAGCTTTGGGTGCTTGGCAACCAGTATGGTTGCAGCATCCTAGGATTCTGGGGTTGTCATTTGCAACATTCCTAGGGAGTTTCTGACAAGCAAAGCCAATGGGGAAAGCCAGATTCGCTTAACAATTGCATGATTCACTTTACAACTGTAATGATTCACTTAACAACCATGGCAAAAAAGTCATAAAATGCGGCATAATCCACTTAACAGCTGCCTTTCTTAGCAAAATATTTTTTTGCTAAATTGAGGACTTCCTGTATTATATTGATTATTTGTGTTCCAGGTGCTAAATAGTCATAAAACAATTTATTTGGTCCATGAAGGGAAATCTTAAACTAACAGTTATTATTTCTAGTCTAGCTATATTTAATATGATTGGCTGAAACACTATCTGGAATAGGTTTTCCATAATCAATGTAAATAGTCTGCTTTGAAAATTTAAAATTCACGACTTCCGGTTTGCCATCGCAGCGCCTGCAGACACAGGAAGGCGAGCTCCGTCTTCCGTGTCCAAATTCATCCCTCTGGGGACCCTGGAAAGGGTCGAAAGTAGGGGCGATGAGCAAGGAGGGGACCCCTGCTTGATCGTGGGAGGGTGGCAGCCCTTCCGCTTGATCCGGGGCAGCCCTCCAAACCGGCAGGGGAAAGACCTGCCAGAGCAATATGGCTTGTCACTAAGCTGCTGACAGCCGGTCAAAATTACCATCAAGCATCTTTAAAGCAACGCGGATGAAGCTGGGTGAGATCTGATCTTCTCTTTACGATTTTAAGTATTTTCTCCTGTAAAAGCTGCCCAAAGTATTTTTCCCCCGTGAGGAGAGAGGGAAGCGAATATCTACCCCATCCTCCAAGAAAAGCAGCGACTAACTACCCAGGGGAATTAAAGCAATTCTAAGAACAATTTTAATCTAATTGGATCTATATGTTTTTGAAACCTGGGGACTAAAAGTTTTTCTATTCTTACTGGAGATATTTGTTTTAATTTAAAATAAAAGAAATAAAACTTGAAAAACTATCATAAAAACTTTGGCC